TTAGGCCATTTTCAACATCGATATTTTGGTTATTTTGGGGGGTTATATTCTGGTTTTTTAGTTCAGAAATAAACTTTAATGCTTTCTGAATGTGGATTTGTGGTTCTTTTTGCCGTGCGATGCGTTTTTCATGGGTAAATGATCAAGTGGGGATTTCCTTCACTGGGGCTAGCGATCATTTACCCATGAAAAACGCCTGGAGCCGATAGTTTGGTAAGCCTGTGCCTTCTCAAACTAGAATAAACACGTCAGGCAAGTACAAGGAGCCTTAGTTCGTGGAAGCGGCATTGTTGATTGTTCAGCTAAATTCAATATCAAATAATCAAAATACTCGCCGAAAAGAATTCCATGATAAATTAATAAACTATTTGAAAATGATCAACTACTACACCTCGTTTGAACAAGGTATTTCAAGAGGAAAGTTCACGGGCTACGATCGAGAGCAAAAGACAGGCCACAACGGGCATATTTCGTCGATGGGACGCGCTCCTAAACAATGCTGAAAAAAGTTATACTTCCGCTTGTCCTCGATAAATGTTTGAGTACAGTGCGTTAATTTATAGTCTGGTAATAAAGGTACGACTCCAAGTAGCAATTTTCTTAGGAAATATTAGTATTGAAAAAAAATTCTAACTATATGTGACACGTAGGCAAGTACAAGARCCTCATTACGTGGAAGGGGCGTTGTCGATCATGTCGCTTCCGAGAATCRTATAATCAAAATATTCACAAAAAAACAAATTTAATGATAAATCAATAACTTGTTGCCAAAAGAAAAACTACAAACAATTACAGATAAATTCACGTAGTTTTGCTAAACATTTTGAACGAGAGAGAACGATCTATTTCAAGGGAAAAGTTTGATCGGAAGTGACAGGCCAGAGCACATTTCGTAGAAGAACCGCTCTCCATCAAGAAACATATAGTTATAGTTCTCGCCTCGTCCACGAATAACTTTTGATTGCATAGACGGAAAATGAGATAAGGCCTCTGCGATAGAGGCCTAATAATAAGAAACGTAAAAATCAGTCCAAAGCACGCTAATGAGCCAGTTATTTAACCAAAAACGAAATTAAACCATTCATAATAGAATTTCAAAGTATTTTCTGCTGTTTTAAGATCAATTACGTTGACGGAAAATTGGTGTGAATTCGTACATTAATTCATGCTTCTATAACAGTATTATCGAGTAAACAGGTCCTTCGTATTTTAGTCGTGTCTAGCAGCCCAACTAATAGTCGATCACTTGATTTCTTTTTTGCTTATTCTTCGAAATTKGCYSGTGGTAACTCATGATGATCACACGATTATCGAGATTCACTTGCTGAATTCGAAACTAACTCGCTCAAACTTATTGCAACTTGATTATTTGAGTGAAAATCGGCAAGACTTTCTGATTTTTTATAGGATTAAAATGAGTTTCGATCGTCTTACCTTGTTCCAAGGACACAGCAAAAAGGAAGATGGCTACGAAAAGTTTGAGATGCATCATGATTGTGCCTTGAAAAGCTTTGAAGAAAGAGAAACTTTGAGCAAAAACAAACGCTGGACTATGCTGCAGTGTGGCGTCCTCCCCGAGAATAACCCGATATCTCTTGGTGTTGAGATATATACCTCACTAACCTTGAAAAGATCACGTGGTATATACGCAACGCATGTGCCAATATTCGGTTTCTGAGAAAACCACGTTGCTATGGTTATTAATCTGCAAGTCTATGAATCCGTTACGATTGTTTAGGGCGAAATACAAGGTCACAATGCAATATCCTGCGTACCTTGATAGTGAAATCTAGTAAAGCAAGGGAACCAGGGAAACCTCAGTTGAATGGCGGCGCTAACGGTCATTACTTACGAAGATTTTGGGATTATATAAGTCGACGGATTTTCAGCAAGTGGGATAGGGCACGTTCCTTATAATTGATTGTTTAATAATCACACTATATTTATTATACAAAAAAGAATCCAACAAAAATACTTCCAACTTAAAGCACTTTTAAGGGCACTTCTAAAAGAAACTAGTCATAAGGGAACTTCGACGTCTTTTGTGACATGCTCAGGGATATTCGAATTCCATTTGACAGAGTATTTCGTCGCTCGTTCACCCGATACAACACCAAAAGCGTTATTCGCTTCTATTGGATTATTATTAATGTAGTTGCGAACAATGATAACCTAGATTTTTTCGCTTGATATTGCTTGAGAGGTTTGATATGAATACTCCAGTTTCGAGATCTTATTTATGCAGCCTTAACCTCTATTTAGCAGAGGCTCTATTGTAATAGAAAACACAATCAAAATTTATGCCTTATTGAAGAAAAAAAGAATTCGAAACTGAATTCGAACGGGAAACGTGAGACTGAGACGAAACTATCTGACATTAAAAACCAAAACGGGAAACTAAAACCCCAAAGCTTCTCAGCTATATAAACAACGATTTGCTGATGCAAGTTAGCTAGCAAAATACGTTAAAAAAGCAGCTCAACTAGTGAAAGAGCATGGCGAATAGTGCGCAAGTCATCGTAAAGATAACGCTGACGATTGGAAATGTGGACGCGTTGCACAGTTCTCCTGAGCAGCAGTAAACGTCACACTGTAACGGATGTTCTTGATTTGTGCCTCCTTTGCAGTCGTCTAAGGTTTCTTCGTAACAGTGTTTGTCTGTTGTACAACCTCTTGTATAACGAGTTACTCTTGCATCATCGTAGTAAGTGTCAACTGCCTAGAATCCAAATCAAAGTCCATAGTGAATTATGGGATTGGATTAAGGGAGCGCTAAACTTCAACTTTGGTTAGTGGAGGAATATCTTGAAGTACTAGAACTTATTACAGTCAAAAGACATGAAGCGCGCCCCCTCAACCATTATTCAATTCATTATTCGATTGTTGGTAAATTCAACATTACATTATTGAAATCAAATCGAAATTTGATTGGATTATTGATCCGATTTTCATAAAGCCTTCTTCGTATTTCGCTGTAAACATGCTGGTCTTTTGTAATTTCCACAAGTCGCTTTTGGGAGGGACAGGAAGCCCGACAAAAGGGGAGGCTGCGAAGGAGACTAATGTATTGCAATATTGCCAATATGCTGTCTGTTTGGTTGGATCTGTCCCTTCTCGTGACAAAGAAATGACGGTCTCAAAAAGCTGGAAATTTTGTGTTGTTTTCTGTCATTATCAGAGTTCGAGATTTGAATTTAATTTTGCATTAATCAACTGAAGTTTGAAAACGAAAAATAAAATGAAAAATCTAATAATGCATTGAATAACGAACTATTCGGGGAGCGCGCTTAATATCTTTTGACTGTAAACACGTTCAAGAAAATGTTGCGAATCGGCTCTAGGGGAGGGGGGAAGGGGGAAATTGAAGGAGAGGGGGGTCGGGGAGGAGGGGAAAACAGTTAGGCTACTAGGCCTTTCATTTAGTCACAGTCTGTCAATCAAAACAATGAGCTTCTAAGTTTGGAATATTAAAGTATTTGTTTTAATTTCTATGTTTGGTAAAAAATATTATATATTTAAAAACTATTTGAACAATTAAGAGATAAATTTGAACAAAGACTGACTGTCTTATTATTTCAAGTGAAGTTTGCATAGATCTTTATACAGCTTTCACAAGAATGTTTACAATTTAGGTTTTATTCCAATAACTATAACATTTCTCTAGTTTATAAGTTCTTCTTTCTTACCACTTTATAACATCTCGTTTGACCAGGTTTACACTCCTGCACATATCTGTTCCTCATGCACATCGCCCACGATTCCGAACTTGAGCAATGATAACAGTCGAGAGAGGTACCTAAAACAACATGAAAATTATCAACTTATTCGATACCATGCTGGTTTGGGCTACCTGTGTTACTTAGTGATTGTGTCAAACTTCAACTCGCAATGGTAGATTTACGAAAATAGCAACTAAAATAGGCAGATTGAGGCTTATGTTCTTAGTAAAGAGACTAAGATAATTGTTAGAGTTTCGGATGATCGTACGTTTGTTTAGCGATTAAGAGTGGCTTATAACGAACAAAACATAATTTATAGAGCAAGCAATCTCGGTATAGTGTGTTCAACGGATACATCACTTATGTATACAAACTATTACAGCGCCATTTTGACTGTTTCTAGCTTTTAGAGCAAAGCGATAGTCATCAATATAGTAATCGATGCAAAATGAGTCGTATTAATGCATTGAGTGGACACTGATCCACTCGCCACAGAAACGCAGCAAACATAGTGGCAATATACTCTTCTTGGCGGATTCTTCAATAAAGTATATAGTTCATACATTAGACTATATTTTCCTCAAGAAATATTTCTATGTAACCTCAATTAACAGACTTCGTAATATTATAATTCTTGTGCAAAAGTAGATATCTATCGTTGAACAATGCAAAGACCGCCTAAAACTAGAGACATTGTACAGTCGTTTTTCTGAACTAACATTGAATAAGACAAAACACTTACCTACAGAAACAAGAGAAAGAAAAACCACTGCAAATAAGGCTTCTAATCGCATTGTAACGGCTTCAAATCAAGGGATATTTTGTGATGCAAATGTTCTAATTTGAAACACTGATCTTAACGTGTATGTTTGCCTAAAATCGTCTCCAGTTTCAACATGTCATGAGTTAACCAATCACAGCTTGCGTAGTATTTTGCTCCTTCTTTATTGACACTGTAACACAATCTTTGGGTGTCGTGCAGCTCAAATGGCTAACCAATCATATTGGCGTTTATATTTTGTTTATATCTCAACAGGATGGATATTAACTTACGCTGTATCAAAGAATCCAAGGAACGTTGAGACTCAAGGATCAGTTTTCTGTCACGACAACCATCGTCTTTGGTAATATATGACAGCACAAGCATCCAAGAAATGGGACGCCATTCATCAAAAGGAAAACCGGGTAGTTACCTTCTTTTTAATTTATACTCTTTTTTTAAGCATGATTATCAATCTAAGATAACATAGTACTCCATTTTATTAAACCCGATGTGAATGTTCAGCCATCGTATTAATTGGGAAAACAGAATGGAAAAATAGAACAAAATGACAGTCAAGAAAGAATGCATACACCTCGTCTTTACTTAATTTACTCCGTGAACAAATTCGAGCTGAATGGCAATTATTTGGACTACCTTCACACTGCAGGGGACTATAGCTTGCCATAGTCAAGCACATTTATTTCTGACGCAGAAGTATGTACTATTTCCTGGGTATTGCGGCTCCGTGAACTGCCCAATACATCGAGCGCAAACTGTATTTATCATTGGCCCAAGGGTAAAGGAAGAGGCGAGGTCCTTATCAATGTTAATCAAAACATAGTAGGATTTCACAAAAACAAATCTAGTGCTGGGTTTTTACGAATTCTTTTTGGCAATTTGAGAATGCCGTTATGGAGAGTTTACAAACTGTTGCTGTTTTTCGTGTGTTCTCAAATCGTACAATCATGATTTATCATGGCTGATACCTGGTCGAATTCGGAATATTGATTGACTATTCTTAAAATTCCAGTACAAGCGAGAATAGTCTCGAATCTATGTGTAAATTGAATGTTTATTTCATTGTTTTCTATCCTAGGAACGAGGCTATTCCCAACTGAACGGGAATTATAAGAATAGTCTAAAATTAAAAAGATCATTAAAACCAAAAGAGACTTTTTTTATTATGTCATATATAAAAGTTTATAAATGAAATTCAGTATAATGCGATACTTTGTACAAAAATCCAAAGAAATTGATTCGCTATTAAAAATCAAAATCTTATACCAAAATGTATATGCAGACTTTTTACTAGCTTACCACGCGTCTTTGTCCATTAGGACCGGAARCCTTCTAGAYACTTACAGTCAATTCAAAAACGCTGTGTAAGTTTTAGACCTACAAACAAGGAATCACAGGTAAACCTGCACAAGTAGTTTGTCATCCTAGTAAACATGGACACTTTGTGCAYATGATGAAAGAAACCGCTCAACCKACGGAAAGGTATACTTGATTCATAACCTCCAAGAAGTGATGTTCATTGGAACAAGACAGCCAGTAAGGCGCATGACACGAGAACGACTCCGCTGACCCAAGGTATCGAAGCAGGATTACATCTATGTCCACCGCAGCAATGAACTTCACAGGGTAAAGTGACGGCTTTGTTCTCTCCTGTTCTGCAGTCGTCCATGGAGTGATCAAAGCACTGCTTCTCTGTTGTACAGCCTTTAACAAACCGTGTTATCTTTTGTCCATTGTATGTTGTATCAACAGACTGTCAATCAAACGCATCACTGTCATTACTAAATTCGTAKAAAATGGAGCAGACATAGTGTGTCTGTGTGTATGGGAGGATAGTCTCCTTGCACTGCGCTCGAAGGGAATAGAGCTCCATCTGGGGAACAAACAATTGATTCTAGTTCCCAAGAAAGCAAACATTCTTATGTTTTGTCTCCCAGATGAAGCTGTTTTGACGTCACAGGCAATAGTTGAAAAAACCTTAAAAACAGCTTGTTGCTAACTATAAAAAAAATATACTTTAAAAAAATATACTTTAAAAGCTCATTAGCTGTTATTAGCTGATTTATTTCGTTTGTTGGCGGTGTTTCTTTTTGTTCAGTTGAGGGGGTATATTCAGTGTTTTTATGCTGTGCCTTCCCCCCTCCCCCCATTACACTTTAGTACATACCGCCTTGTAACATCGGTCTTCCCAWGGTTTACATTCTCTCTGAAATAAGTTATTATCGCACATGGACCATCGTTCTCTGCTTCCACAGTGATTGCAAGTCAAGGCAGAACCTGAAAGGTTTATGCACGCATCACTTAAATTATTGAGTTACTAAAGAATCGGCTGATTTGCTGCTCATAACAAGACTACAAAAATCATGTCAAAGCTGAAAATTGCAAGCAATAAAGCGCAAGCATTTAGTTTAAAACTTGCAATCAATTCACAAAATATTTAAAAAAGCGGCGACTGCTTGCACTCATGATTCAGTAAATTAATTTTTTGTCAGACTCTCTGTGAAGCAGCCGTTTCCCTGGTAGACTTTATCAGCCTAGGAAAGCAGTACATTACGACTGATAGACACTACTAAACACCGACTAAACTACGATCCTATAAATGACTTATACTAAGCAACAGGGAATTCAAAACAGGGGCATTAGGCAATTACATGGACTAGTTCTGTCGAATTTGGGCCTAATTTTACACGGTTGAAAGGACTTCCGTGTTCTTTGTCGCGATATGGATATCTTTCCATTCAATTTACCGATGCTATATGCATCTCTTAACTATATAAAATGTATGTTTATGTACCTATGTAGCCATGAAAAAACTGAAAATGATAAGCGGTGGTCCGCGATAAAGTGAAAATACTTTCGTAGTCTTTAACCAAGCGCTTATAATCGCCATGAATCGAGTAGATGGATTTGATCTTCCCATTTCTTCTGACCTCTGATTAATAATCAACGTTTTACATGTATAACTTTATCAAGACCTGCTCTTTAATGGTTTATATACAGAATAAATAAAACGTTTATGTGTTGYTCATTTAATAAATAACAACCTCAGTATTCGTGAATAGCATTAATGCACAAAAGAAAATATCATTGAAACATGTTACTCAAGTTGATAGTACTCATTTTGAATTGAAACTGTGGTTGTTTATAAACACAAGAGTTCTAATCATCTAGAGGACTATGGTTGACCATGAAAAACCTTCAAATATTAGCACTGAGATGAGATTTGAAGGAAAACATTAGTTATTCCATGATGTACGGACTACTGTCTTATGCCTAGGCTAAATGCTTTTATAACATCGGTTATCTATCAATATTCCCGAAGGGATTTCAATATCTGTGATCACTGTTGTCAAATGGCTCTAATACTGGTAAAATTGTTTGCATTGAATACATTTTTTTAATTGAATATAATGRATTCGGACAGGCAGTTTGCCGCCCAATATATCCGCTTACTTTTGTGTTCAATACAACTCGAAAACACCACACAATATGGAATATGTACTCAACTAACCTCCAGAAAGAAATGCAAGGAATACCACTGCAAAGAAGACTTCAAATTGCATCATCAAGACTTCAAAACAAGGAATATTTTACGATAGAAATAATCCAATTTCAAACAACGCWGAGTAATATCATGTATGTTTGCTCTAAAGTCTCCAGTTTCAACATGTCATGAGTTAACCAATMACAGCTTGCGTACTATTTGTAAGCTTCTTTATTCACATGGGTAACACAATCTTTGATGTTGGACAGCGCTCTGGGAGACCGCAACGTCTGACCAATCAGAAAAGCTGTTGTATTTTGTTATCACTGTGCTGACATTTCTACTTATTCTAAATATGCTAAGAATCTCAAGAGTCTAAAGGCCACACAAAGTTAGATGAATCACGACGCATAAACGTTCGTGACAGAAATCGAATCTCAATCTTTCTTGCACATGTGTGCAGTAGTTCCTACAATTAAGCAACAATTTTAGATGGGAAGAATAGAGAACAATCCCCTCCTCCCTCCTCTCCTCTCCTCTATAAGACAATCGTGACATCTCCTCCCATTTCTCTTTTACRTTGTAAAGTTTAGAAACCGACAAGAAGCATAGCGCAAAATGTGCAAATTACARCATACAAAAAGTTAATTGTTTCTATGGGAGATCCTCCATTACAAGCATCGCCTTCACAACAGTAAACTTTACAGTCTTGTTCGCTCTTTTCTTTGCAGAAAGAATCACGAAGACCCTGGCAGGCTTGAAGCGAGTCAGTGCATCCCTTGGTGTAACCAAGTTTCGATCTGCCTGTGTACGAAATCATGACGATGTTTCCTTTAAAGCAATACGCTTTTCCTGAGTTTTGCTTGCATGTTTTTAACGAGGAGCGATCCTGGCATCTTTCGAATGAGACGTCAGATAGGCATTCGTAGCATTTCGGATACACTGAAATGAAAAATKCAAGGAAATGCAGAATCAAAAGAAGAGAAAAAAATGGAAAAGGAAAAAAAAACAACGACAAATAATTGATGATTGGAGTAGCTGGAAGGAGGGYTTATGCACTGGGTGCGAAGTAGTTCGGTAACGGTAAATAATTGAGGATACACCCTAATAAACTCATCATAATAAATATTGCTCACCTCCATTTCTCGTAGCTTGGTTACCATTGCATTTATTTGTTGTGCAACATGTTGTGATACAGTTTTTCTGTAATTTAGATCAAGAAATCGTTGAATTAGAGCGCCACTTACAATACAATAGGTACTACCAACCAATAAGCCACAATAAGCAGTCAAGTAAGCCATTTAGCTATCAATCAAATGAATCAATGAATCAATGAATCAATCAAGCAAGAAACCAAGCAAGCAAGACTAGTGAAACCAACCAACCAACCAACCAACCAACCAACCAAACAACCAACCAACCAACCATTGACAGCCAACCAACCAGTGATAATATAGAACTCAGATTAGAATGATTTTCTTACTTTGGCGATGCAAAGAGGGTTTGGTGCTTGTTTGCACCGCTCACTACGCTGACACCCACTGAATGTCACTGCAGTTATGACGCCTGCTTGTTCCTGAATAGTTGTAGTCTTAAAACAGCTATACCCTTTATCTGCGTCTASTGGGCACTCCTCGGTGTTTGTACAGCTTTCCGTTCCGTTACAAGAAAAGCACCTCAAAGCAGATGTTTTCCCTGGATAGATATAGCGATAATTATCGTATTCATTAGTTTATTATTGATGGGATACCCGTACGACTTTACAACAACTTGGAAAGGAATATCCCCCAAGGTGTTAACTGAAAGTGTGATCATGACGAATAATCATCTTCGAACGCACAAAGGTTAAGAACTACAAAGTCTTATTTATGGTCACAGGTTGTCCGTGACCACCTCTGTGCCGAAGTGATAATTTTGTACCTGTAATATTCATACAGCAATTTTTGCGAGCATGAAAATTTGCATTTTAAATACTATACTATCATGAATAGGAAGATTTTAAACCAGGGCTTGTAGTTCTTGTACCCAGAAGGTAGGATGGAGCCTGACATTTTTGATAGACAGCTTTCACACAACATTGAAAAATACATAAATCCCTTTGGGACGGAAAGAAGCAATGTAAATTAGTAAAAAGTAAAAGTATATCGGAAACGTTTTGGGACAGACAGCAAAATTTATCGAAACCTGAGAGCCTACCAATCTATCATCAATACCATTATGCTGGTTAATTACGTATATACTTGTTTTCGTTATAGATACCAGTAGTTTTAGATGACGAATATCATAGAAACAAACCATACTATCTTACCAATAGTTTGAAGCAGACAAGTTAAGCTTATAACAATCCTCCCAAACGTGACAAAAACCTTCATGGCACCACATTGGAGCCTCAAATGACAAAGAGTTTCTTGACTAGTTGTTTAAAGACAACTACTTCGTTGCTATATGCAAACTWACAATATTTTCCTGCTAATTGAGTTAATGAAAGAGAAGAAAAAGGTTAAAGTAATTTGGTCTCGTAAATAAGAAT